CGTCGCGAATAATAGTAATTCAGCTGACCACGACCGTGACTCGAAGAATCGAGTAGATATTAGTAGAATTAGAACACCGACGACTCAATGGAGGAGTATTCGATTGTCGACACGGGATGGTCCGAGTGTTTCTAGGGAAATCGACTGGCGCACGTATTATCCGTGGTACACGCGTACAGTTGATCGATTTGACAAGAGCCTAGGAAGAGACAAATAAATATTGACGAAGGTCAGGCACAGACAGCGAGTGATAGAACGAAAAAAGCATTTGATTTTCACAGGTCAGTTACATTTCGACGCGAAAGGATCATCGATACTAGGAATGGGGGCTCCTTCGCTCAATAAGATCAAATCCAGGGTTAGGATCAAATACTTTTTTTGCCCCGTACCACTTGGAAGTTTTTAATAATTTACATTTCTAGCGTTTATACAACGTTGCGCGCACCGACGGCGTCTGACTCGTCGATCTCTCTGCTCGTTCTACGCGAGCCGAGTTTTGCCACCGACGACTAAATGGAAGGATTCGCGCGATTCAATATTCACGGTCGAGGGGAGGAAGTTGGACTGACGTGAGGATCTTCGATAGATCGCTGCGAAGAGATTTATCAACTAATACGAGAAGCGTATAACGATCGGTCGAAACGGAGCCCAAGCTCCGATAAAAAAAAGAAAAGCGTTCGACCAAAGGACCAAAGGAGCTCGTGGTCGAATTTCTTGGTCTTAGAAGGGCGAACGATCCTCTCGAACGACAGCGAAGTTGGGTCGGAGCACTGCAGTTAGAAACGAAAACGTTTCTCTTAAAAATCTTAAAAATCGCGGCGAACGAATCTCTTCTCGCGGCTTCTCTCGAGAGGGGAGAAAAAAAGAAAAGAAAAGAAAAGAAAAAAAAAAAGAAAAAATCGCAACAAGCAATAAACGCGGAATGTGCAAGGTCCGCGAGTGTCGTCGCGCGAGTATGCAAGCTGTTTCTTCCTGTTCCGACGATCCCCGTGGAAAATAGAAGAATGCCCAGAGAGAGAGACTCGTTCTTCTTTCGGCGGGGTGGCGGGGGAGGAAAGAGGGAGTGGGCGGTGAAGACGATAACGTAAGACTAGACTTCAACAATACATGCGGTTTTGTCATCGCCGTACAGACACACTGCTGGTGGAGTATAAAAATATAAACATCTAAAAATGAAAAAAGCGAGAGACACCCGTTAGACGCAGAGAACTGATTCTGTGTCGAGGCTGAATAACGAGGCGTGGATCACGAGGATTCTTCTACGCTTAGGCTGTATTCCGCTTTATGCGAGCAGATTTCTCGCTTCTTCCTTCACTTTTTGTTTCCTCTTCTTCTTTTATCCCTTTCTCCTATCGTTTTAAACGCGCATCTTGAAATTCGATTCGAACGAATCGAAAGGGCTGTGTGCGTTACTTTCTGTCGATCCGTTGAGAACTCAGCGAGCAGACGAGTGATCGACTCGCTCTCCAGGGTGGGGCAAAGCGTTTATCGATCGAAGAAGCACAAGAGAGTCGTTAGATCGATGGGTTCTAGAGATTTTTTCGAACGATTCTCGAACCGATCAAGCAACAGATCGTTCAGTGGCTTTCGAATCAGAGGAAGACACCTTCTCAGCGAGGAAACAACGTTCATCTAAATTTCTGACGGACCAACAAAATAATTTTGCAAATCGTGCGAGCGGCGAATCGCCTGCGAGTTGTAGCTGGAACCGATCGGTTTCGTCTCTTTCTCTCGTCGTCCCCGCGACACGCGAAATTTTTTCTCCGTTCTCCTCCTCTGCTCTTTCGTCTCTTCTCGTTTCTCGCGACTGGGAAGGTTTTCACTATTTCTCTTCTGTTCGTTTAGTTTTGCTCTTTCGTTTTTGTTTAAATTTTTTGCCTCAGAAATGGAGAGATGAATTTTCTCGACTCGTAATCGGACACGATGCATGTGTCTATCTGTAGATCCAGTCCATCTCTATCTAGTACCTACACGCTCTCGACTTTTATGTGTGTGTTGTGTGTGTGTTGTGTGTGTGTGTCACAATAGACCTGCTTCTTCGTACGATCATTGTTTCTTTTCATCTCCATGCGTATTTATAATATTTATATACGTTATGCTCTCGTCTCGATGGGAGTTGCATATCTTTCTTTTTTTTCATTTTTTTCCACGTCTTTGTATACATTGCGTCTTGCATATATTTATATATATATGTTTTTATGTATATATATATATATGTATATATGTATAATAACGAACAACATTAATGATTACTCGTTAGGCTATTTTTTTTAATTGGACAATAAATAAAATAGTTTATATATCGCGGCTTCTCTCAGTTTCTTCCATCTTTCAGGCCGTTTTGTCCATGTGTTTCTTTTCCCTCCACTTGTGGCACCCCTTCTCCTCTCTTCACCAGCTTGTAATCCAGCTTTCCATGGATTTCAATTTGTTCCCACCCGTCTGAACTCGACATTTAAATTTGACATTGTACGCAATTTTTCCTTCTACCTTTCTCTCCCTCCCTTTCACTCTGCCACGCTCTCCCCCTCTTTCATTCACACTGCTCTCACGGAACGGAGATCGATAATTAGGAGCAATATACATATATTTGGTATTTGCCAGCTGTTCGACAGTTTGGCTTCGATATGAACGTAAATTACACTCACAAATTCTCTGGCTACATTTGGAAACAGCTAATCGACGTACTACACGCACGTTATCTATAAGACGTTATATTTTCTTGTTTTCAATTTTTTCTTTTCTTTTTTCTCTTCTTTTTTCATTTTTTTTTCCGTTTTTTGTTTCCTTTTTTTCTTTTTGAACCGCCGTTTGATCCTCGTGCAACGTTCGAGAGACTTTCTTCCGTCTTCTGCCCCTTCCTTCTTTTGCCGCCTGACAATGCCCCAAGCCATCTCCGATGCGGCGCAACAATCTCTCAAGATTCCTATTGCCTGCTCGTCGAGCAGAAGGCTCTCGTATCTCGTATCTCGGGGAATCGTCCAAATCGATGATGCGCGATCGAGTCTGCGTTCGCCCGATATATTCGATTGTACATTGTGGCTCGAACAGAACCTTCGCAGCAAAAATTTCCTCGAGAGTCCTCCGCGTGAGTAACGCAACGTTCCACAATCCAAGTTTGGCATCCAGACGACCCAAAGTGCTCAAAGGCGCATTCAACAAGGCAGGATGCAGATTCTATCGGATATTATCACGATGTTTCGTAATTGCTGACCGAGATCGATCGGTCGCCGAGAAGTTTTCCTTGCGAAGAACGTGTGTGGCGCGCGAGGTCGAGATAAACAATTCAGTTTTCAGTCGAACATGCAGACGTGATCCTACAAATTGCCGGCGATACAATCTACTCATTCAGTCGAGGCAACGAACGCCGGAACACGAACGCTCTGACTGTCGCTATCTACTCGATTTCCACCGCTTCCGTGTTCCGAGTGTCACGATGTATCTCTCGATCTTCCTTTCATTTTCAGCGATCTTCGTCAACGATCTTTGGCTCCGACGTCTCCACCCGCCTCTCGATAATTACCGGCTTCCCTCGTTTTTCGACTCGTGTGTCGAGGATCGACACGGCACGAAACACGGATACGCTTTCAACCGCTGCAACAGAAGATATTCTCAGCCAGCCACTTGTGCAGGCCCGACAACTGTTTCTCGGGAGAGTCCTCGATCACCAGGCCGTATCACTTGATCTCCTCGCGGCTCGGCGAACGCGGAGGATGCGACGGCACCATCTGCGGGGTCTCCGGCACCTGCCTCTTCGGCCGAAAGCTTGCCGTTAACGAGGAGATCCAGCCGCTGGGAGACTGCGAGCTCTGATCGTGCAACGAGTCGCTGTTGCTGTTGCTCCTGGTACTGTCGATGCTCATGCCGGACTTGAACCGCGACAACAGACCGGACGAAGGCTTCTTGGACGTGGTGGTTGGCGAGGCTTCGTACGTTGGCTTCTTCCGTGACTTGGCCGAGTCCTTGTACAGCATCGAGTCCAAGCTACCCGCGTGAGGACGCTCCTCCGCTTTCTTTGGCTCCAACGAACCGAGCATCACGCTTTCAGCCTGCTTCGCCATCTTCGAGATGTCCTCCATGCTTGCCGAGCTTCTTCGGATTTCTATCTTCCCAATGTCCTCCTGCACCACTTCTCCGGACCCGTGCTCGGTCTTCACAACGATCTCCGACTGTTGTTGTTGTTGTTGCTGCTGCTGCTTCGTGCGCACGTCGATCTCTCCAAACTCGATAACTTGATCCTTCGCGTCTTTCAGACTGTGCGACTTGCCCTCGGGATTCGACGAATTCCGCCGGTGTTTCGCCAACGAGCTCTCCGACATCGCGCCCGGCAACGCCTCCAACGAAGCGGACGACCTCTTCTCCTTGGCGAACACCATCCTCCAGCTTTTGTTCTTGTAGTCCGTCGATTTCCTAACCTTGGGCAGCGTCATCGCGCGCTTGTCCACCGAGGACAGCTCGACCACCGTCGCTATCGCTTTGCTCTCTTTCATCGAGACTTTCGCGAGGTTGCAACGCTTGCAAACCGCCAGGGTGTTGTTGTGCCTGGAGGAGGTAGTGGCCGCGGTGACCGAGTTGCTCTTGTTCAGCGTCTTGGTCACGTGTTTCGTGGGCTTCGGCGCGGGAGGCTCTTTCGAGTCGAAGCTGATGCTCAGTCGATCGGTGAAGTTCCTCAGTCGAGAGAATATGGACTTGTGATTGTTGGATCCGGTCTTGTCCTCGCAGCAGCAACGGAGCCCGCCAACCACCGACTCCCTCTGAACCTCTTTGCGACTAGACCTCGTCTCCTGATCGTTCTCCATCGCCAGACTGCCCGTTTTCTTCAAGTTGTTTCTCTGCTGGCTCTCGACCACCACGTTACCGTTACCCTCGATCATCTTCCGTTCGTTCAATTTCGCGTCCAGCAGAACTTGGGTCTCGTCCCTCTCCAACTCCTCGAGGATCCTGGTTGTTCCCTCGGCGGACCACGCGCTCATCGGCGAGCTCAGATCGCTGCCGAGGCTCTCCCCTTTACTGCGTTTTCTCTCGCGCTCGTGCTCCCTGACGGCCCTGGCCAGGTCGTGATTATGATAATCCAGTGACGACTTCTCCCGGCTACCCTTCCGGCTACCCGGGTAGCTTTTCCTACCTGTTGCCGGCCCGACCAGCGTCCCCTCCGTCGAGATCTTGAATTTCAACGTCTTCTCGCTCACCTCCACCTCGGTCGCCGTCTCCGGGTCCGAACTCTCCAGATTCTCCGCGTCCTCCTCCGTCAGATTCTCCGTGATGTCGTCGTCGGTAGACCGCGACCGCGAGTGAACAGTGCCCGCCGAACGTTTCGAGCGCATACTGTGCGACGAGGTGGACTTCACCACGCTGGACGAGCCGATGCCGCCGGACATCGCGCTCGTCAGGTTCGACTCGCCAAGATCCGCCACGCTCTTCCGGTGGTGTCGCTCGTCCTTCGCCGCCTCGTTCAACCTCCGATAGTACTCCAAGGCCTCCCGCACTGGCTGAACTATCAGGCTCTGGAACAAGGATGTTTTTGCGCTCGTTACAAGTTTGAACGTTCCCTCGACCTGGATCTGTGTTGTGTTGAGGCAACGACTCGCGACTGGTCGTGTCGATCGATCGTGTACCCTTGGGGTTCAAACCCATATGGGTTCACCACCCAAATGTTGTTGTGGGAAATGACCAACTCTGGCTGATTTGCACTGTCTTTATCTTGCGATAAGCCTGATGGCTTCTACTTGGATGGCCTACCAAGAAAGCTTGGCTTGTCTGAATCACGAGGGTACTAAAGACTGATTCGAACGAGTTCGTAAGCCGAATATTGATTGACGTCTAAATCAAAGTCCTCTCGGATTATCCTTTCCAAGGGACTCTGAGGAGTTGTAGAGCGGGGATTAAGACCAATCAGAAAATTTCCAAAATTTCCCGTCACCGTCCATAACTCGGGTGGAGTGGCATTTCTAAGAACGTTGCCTGCACAATCCTTCGAGTACGCACGGAAGACCTCATCGCACTTGAAACTGACTAAATTTATGAGCGCCTAGTTTTCCAAGTTATCTATACCTACGAGTGTCTACGCAGGTTGAACAGATGTTTTAGAAATTTCTAATCTGTCATATTCGAAACGCATCCATGTCACAAGCGTTACGTGCCGTCGACCTTAACAATCTGATTTAGATCACTCGACGAGAATTTATCGAAGAGGAAAAGCTCCTTCGCGCGGGATCGAGTTCATTCCAAGACCGATCCTCTCGCTAATTAATTCAAAACCAATCACGTCACAATTTACACGTACACGTAGTGGCGCGTACAGCCTTAATACAGGGATAATATCGGCCTCTGGTGACAGATCACACGTATAAAGACACATCGTTATCGCCGCTGGATGATTGACAGCTCTGTCTTCGAGTTAACTAGTCAGAGGGTAGATCAGCCCGCATTACGCGTCAGGGTGAGTGACCTGAACGACAGAGTTGCGAACGATACTGTGACTGAAGATCGACGTTGAATATCGACTATCGGAACAGCGACGGGAAATTTCTCCTGGTATTATTGCCTGACGTGGATTTAGTAGAGGTGTGCTCGAGGCCCACTCTGCCGCGTTTTGAGAGTGAATTCGATATTCGAGCCGAGGCATTTGGTGTTTCGCACGTGAAACTCGTAAAAGCCTTGTATATACATCTCCAAAGTATCGAGATGGATTTTATGAAAATATACTTCGCGTAATATTTCGCGTCTCGAGGCTGGTAATAAAAGTACCTGCAGCTCTGGAAGCAACTCTCCTAGGGCCTCGAAAAGGGGAAGCAAGACGAGACCGATGAAGCTGACCTGGGACGAGGGTTTCGTCACTTTGTCACGATCCATGAACGGCGTCACCGGAAGTCCTTCGAGTTTCTCCGCGTCGCTCTGCTTGAAGAACTCTTGCAACAGCCTGTCCAGCCACGGTTCCGCGACTTCCATCGGCCGGGCCTCGTTGCTAATATCCGCCACCTTGATCAGGATCATCGATAACTGCAACACGAAATCGCGTTCATTTGAATCCTTAAAAATCTAATTTTCCATCCGAGATTCGTTATTCTCGTCTTTATCCCATGAATCATTCCTTGAAATTTCTTGACAAATTCATTTCACCGCGAATTTCAACGTAATTTACTGGCAGCAGACAATTTTGGAATATCTGTCAATGTGTATTAAATATCCCTTGGGAAATTCGTTACTTCGAATCTAAATTTGACTAAGTTCTCATTTTTTCCTTCCGTGGCAAGTAATTTTGGAATACTTGACGATGCCTCTGCCACATCATTGAATCGTTCGTCGAATTAACGAACCTTAATTCGAATTACTAAATTTCACGTGTTTTCATCATCTTTTTCTGCTCTTCAGGGGTGAATTGAACGGAAACTCGTTGAATTCCTCGCAACTTCTTCCCGATCGAAATAAAGAAATTCAGAAAGCAAGGCTGAGAATCGTTCTCAGGGATTAACGGAGAGATTGAAAAAGATCAGAGCTTACCAAATTGATATGAGCCTTGCTGGAGTAATCGAATTCCGGGACGATGTCGGTGAATTGGCCGAGGATCTCGTTGTGCCTGGCCATGTCCGTCGCGAGGATGCATCTGATGATGCCTTCGCGGACGACACGGTACGTCGCGTTGTCCAATGACGCTAGTATGTTGCACTCCGGTGCTTCGAGGACGCGAAAAGCTACGGAGCAATGATGATTCTCCAGCGGTGAGATGTCGTTGTAACGTAACGCCAGCTCGGTACGGGCGTTTATCTGATAAATGTTGTTGTATCCTGGATGATCTAGGTCGTGGCAGATGCAGGAGACGATCAGTATAAAAACCTCCAGGTCGCCGATCCGTGACGGAAGATCCACTGCCCAGGCTATCGCGTACATCTGCGTGGATACGATGAAAATCAAGATCTTCTGATCTCAAGAATTTCCTCTATTTGTTTCGCAATTGTAAAAGAACACACGATCGATGTAAATTTCAACTCGGCTCGGAAACTATAGTCATATATAGCCCGCGTATTTCGTTTCATTTTCATCGTCGTCGCTTTAATTGCAATCTCACGCGCTTGTCTTCGTTTGCTCCGTGATATCGCGGAAATTTAATTAACATTCCTGGATTATAATTCCAGGTCGTGTTTGCAAGATCGCGCGCGAAAACGAAAAAGACGTGCAGGTCTCGTGTACTTGCCATTTGCGCCACGCAGAAGCAGTGCCTGAAGTTGTGAAACGGCACTTCGTTATAGTTGTTATAGACTTCGTAGAGGAAGTTCCTCAAGATTGGTAAAGGAATGTTAAACTTTTGAGGTAGGTCCAGCTCGACGAACATCGTCTGCAGCATCAGCAGAAGCTCCTCGTCCTCCCACTGTCGCGCGTCGAACGCTGGCGAGCGCAGCCACTCCCGAACGCTCGACGACACCGAGACGTCGCTGCAAACACAATCGCACGGGCATTAATTCCTCCGATTCTGAAATACCCACTTCCACAGCGAAAGAAGTTTCGAAAATAAGAAGAAACTTTTTTTTATGTTGTCAAAGGCTTGGGATCGGTTTGTATAATATTTGAAGATCGTGATTATATGTTATACATTCACTTTGGCCGGATCGGCACAATTAACTCTGATTTTTAAAATCAGTAATCGGAATCGGCGAAATTTGACCCATCCTTAAATTACCTCTCGAATGATTTAAATCTGCCTTATTTAACAAAAGAGTTAAGTTGAAAGTTCAATTAAAAGTTATCAACTACTCTCTTCTAAAAAAAATAATAAGAACTTGTTTTATTAGTTGAACCAGCAGCCTCATTTGAGTAATGTAAAATCACGGACTTTGTAAAACAGGCGCAACAGGCATATTTTGGACGTCAAATTAGACAACAGGACAATCTTGTGTGGGTATCACATAAAATTTGTAAAACATGTATTGCTCGAAACTGGAGTCAATATAAAAAAATTAACCCCCAATTATTCAAAATCGACTCATAAATCTTTAAAACAGATCGACTATTCCTCGGCGTAATGAATTTTTTTGTAATGCAAAAATCAAGATTCCAATTTATCCATAGTTTGTGCTTGAACTTTGCTTTAATCTTCATAAACAAATATTCCGAGGAAATATACTAACATTCATTCGGAGACACTATCAGAAAATTAGAAAAAAATACGAAAAATTTCCCGAATATATTGTTTAAACGAATGGTTTGTTCGCAAAATGGAATAAACCGTTAAAAAAAAAAAAATACTAATCGATTTACGCAGAAACTGTATCTTCAGTGATTTCAGAAATACTTGACGAAATATTATAAATTTTGAAGTTCCGACTTTAAGTTCACATTTCACACTTTCGGTAGACGATGCCGATCAATATTTTCTGTCGGAAACTGCGAAATTTCGTCAAAATCGTGTGACTGACAGTTAGATACTATCCTGAACGACAGGACAATTTTTGGATCTTTAGATCATCTACATTCTTTGAAAATTGTTTCGCTAATAACCGTTCCACTTCTTTGATAATATTTGTTCGTCTGCTGGTTTAGAAAATAAACCTCGAACGTCGGGACAAATTCAATTCTGTCGAGACCACAATCGCATGATGGCAGAAGGAAGAGTTGCTTCTACAGTGAAGAAGAAGCGTGCATTTTGCACGTTTCTTTCCTTTCCTGTCGCGCGGCTTTGCCCGGCGGTAGCAATTTCCACT